ATGTATAACTATAATATAATATTATGCACTTATTACCTATTGTCTATATCTAACACATTCAATAGTATTATCTAACCTATTAATAATATTTTAACCTAAATATTATCAACTGCTACATCAATAGAATTAATATTATGATTATTATATAAATGTCAACTAGATGTCTCGTACCCGATAAAACAAACTATAACAACTTAACTTAGGTATGAACAAATAGGTTATGTAGGTTATACGATAACTTTAATCTTGAGAACTCGAAAACCTTCTAATTCAAATTGCTTAAACAGTTTTTTCTCCCGTGAAATATGAAATGTTTATCAGTCATATTTGAAGTATACAAATATAACTCGTACAACGTATAAGTCAAATTAATATTTATCCTTTTTGATTTTCGAATCGCCAAGACAATTACTATACGAAGTATATTCAAAAAATACGGGAACAAATGCTCTTACGGCTATTCTAGACATGATATCGATTTAAATTATAAATCGATTATTTCCCGCGTATTAGTGAATATTTAAAACAAAACTCAAATTCACAACCTTATCTCAGTTTTATATGACACATGGTAAATCGAGTGAATTTGTTTCGTTGGGCGATTTCGACTTGTCTGAAAATCATGAACATCAAGTTTTGTATAAAACTGCGTAAAAATGCAACGGAAACTAATTGTAATAGGGACGATATTATATTATTAAAATCGTATTTTAATACGTCACTGTTGTTTATAGCCGACAATATACGCTCTGGACACATGTGTTCAATTAGCTTTCGAAAACAGCGGAGGTGCTTTCAAGTTGAAAGTGGCCGAGGTAGGAACCGGGAGAAAACTTGAATCACTGTACGCAAAATCCGTCATTGATGTGATCAACACCGAGCCAATGCCCAGCGTATGAGTATATTATTTAAGTATGAGACAAAAAAAGTAGTATTTAATGTTTTTATAGGTGGAAGTAACAGTGTTTACCGACCTGCCAGCTCCTGTCACGGAACAACTCGATGAATTCGGTGTTCGAGTAGTGGAGAAGGATGTGTACAGACCGGAGCCGATCGATTCTAACTGTCATCTAGTCATCGTCGCTGACCAGCTAAGTAACGCGGTTTTGGTGAAAAACGCTGCTGACAGTTTAAAAGTTGGTGGTTGTGCACTGTTTGTCGAAAGCAAAAAACCAACTGAACAACAACTTAACGCGACAGGATTRGAATTGATAGCAAATTTAAGATCGAAAGATAATAAGACATTCGTTCTCCTTCGRAAGGTAAACAGAWAAATTATTTTAATATTTTGTACACCACACATACGACGGGACAGAAGACAATAATATTATATGGAATTTGTTCAGAATGTGAACTGGTCAGCGCCGATTGTGGTAAACTGCACAGGAAATGATTTTGCTTGGATTGAACCATTCAAATCTGCTCTACAGCGGGCTGAACAAGAAAATAAACAAGTGCTCTTAGTTAGCCAAGGTGTCGAGTATTCCGGAATTTTAGGTTTTGTAAATTGTATTCGATTGGAACAAAACGGAAACGCGTTGAGGTGAATCGTATATAATCATAAATTAATTTAGAATTAATTTTTAAATTACGTCATGTTTCGTAAATATTTAGATGTCTGTTCATCGAAGATCCGAAAGCACCAACATTTTCGTTAACTTCCGATTTCTACCAGAAGCAATTGAAAAAAGATYTGCTGATCAATGTTTACCGCGGCGGTGTCTGGGGTAGCAACCGACATTTCCTGTTGGGAGACGATTCCGAAAATATGGTTGTGCCTAAAGAATACGCGTATATATCTACAAGAAAGGTTGGAGACTTGTCGACGCTGAGCTGGATCGAAGGCCGCCTGCAATATTACAAGTAACCAAATAATTAATAATAATATTTTTCTCCGCGAAACACGGGAAATAGATCGGTTGGTTTTTTTCAACCGTCGTTTGTTCCGCAGACCCGAGGACTATCCGGGAAAAGAACTGTGTACTGTATACTATGCACCGCTGAATCACATGGACGTCCTGTTCGCTGAACGTTCGTGGTTGCCATTCTTCAACACGGACACTGCTGACCAGGGCGCRTTTTTGGGCCGAGAATTCGCCGGCCGCAACGCAAAGGGTCAAAGGGTGTTTGGATTGGTGTCCGGCAGCGCCCTCGCCACACATGTATTAGCCGACAGCTCTACCCTATGGGAAGTGCCCGACAAGTGGACCCTCGAACAAGCGTCCACGGTTTCCGTTGCGTACGTTTTGGTAAGTATTTATTATATAATGCAAATATGCAATTAATATTGTATTATTTCATGTTGAATTCGTAAATATTTTAGTTGGATACGATATGCGCATAAATATTTAACCACGTGACAATTTAAAATTGAATTATATGTTGTTTTAAGCCAAACAAACCATCGGTTACCCCAAAATCATATATATATATGTATGTATATATATATATATATATATAAGCATCTTCTCCCACTTCTCAAAAATTTGCAAAAGATAAATTCATTAAAAAAATGTTTTACGTCTATTCTCAAAAAAATATTATTACCACTTTCTCGATTGTATTTTAGGGCCAAATATAATACATCAACTTGACAGAGCTTTTTATCTTATTTTACTTAACTCAAAATGTGTATTTTACCTACCYGTGTCTTTCTAAACAATCTAAAAATCTCGACAATGTATAAAATAAATGCTTTCTATTCAAACTCCAATAAGTTAAATATTTATAAAAATTATAGTCTCAGAAAATAAATTAAATAGTATTGTAACTTAACGTTTGATTAATAAGATATTATTTTATTTTATAGGCTTATTATGGACTTTTTAT